TGTGAATGTACACTGGCCGTGTGGAGAAATGAGCAGTTTTGGACCTCAGCAGGAGAAACCATTTGAGATGTGCTATAGCAGGAGGAAAATTTTGCTGCATAATATCATTCTGTTAAATTACTTGAAGAGCTTTGCAGAAATTACAAGCTGTTTTTTTACTGTGCTAGAATGTGAGAGAACATGTAGTAAAACGCTTGTACAAAAATGCAAGCTTTTAGAAATGGGTTCAAAATGTAGGGATATTATAATGGCTAATGCTGCAGCTATTATATCTGCTCTGTGGGGAAAACACATCATGGAATTATTCATGGAGCACTAAGATAGAGTATGAAGAAAACAGAATCATATAGATCTGTGCTGTAAAGTTAGGAAGGGCACACTGTGACCCAGGGTTGCATACGGCCTCAAGCCTGTTTTTGCAGATCCCAGCCCCACCCACCCCCAGCTTCTTCTTTTTTGGCAAAAAAGAGAGAGAAAGATAGATTGCAGCTCTTGGAATCCTGCAATAAAGGGATTCATCTTTAACAAAAAGAAGAAGTCCATTTGTCAAACTGAACTTCTTTCTGAAATACAGTGTTTGGTTATTCATTTGTTATAGTTTAGTTAATACTGAACAGATAATTCATTCATTTTTAATTATCATTTGTTCATGTTTGCATTCTGAGTATTTCTATGGTATGCAAAGAACATTTACCAATGAAAAGCTGATGTCAGCCCTAACAAATAAAAGCATCAGCATAAATGGCAGCCAGCCATGGTACAAAATTAATGTCTGGAGTCCCTAATGCGGAGCATGTGTTGACTGGAATACACATCATGAGTGTTAAAATTAGTGTGTAATGGGCACACGAAAGAAAACAGGAACATGGGACTTGTCAATGGTAATAGACAATGCAGATAATTTTGCTATAGAGACCCCAGCTGACATTGGAGACCCATACTCCAATGAAACAGAAGGGGAAATAGTCAATAAAAGCTCTACTGAGGCCTTCTGAAACATGCATTGCGTTTATCACAAGGAGGAGAGGACACACAAAATTCTATGCCCCCCACCAGTGCATCTTCAATTTCATTGCCCTTCACATGTAGAGGGTGACTAATTGTTTTGAAGAGATTCAGGCAGATTTTGGATGAACATGTGGAAAGTGATGGCAAGTGGAACAGAACGAGAGCAAATTCAGCACACTTGTGTCCGATCTCTCTGCAACCCTCCCCCCCAATGTATGGCTTATGTATGTTTTAAAATTTGTCAGCTGAGCATATACCCACAACTTCCAAACATGGCAAGTGGAACAGAACGAGAGCAAATTTAGCACACTTGTGCCCGATCTCCCTGCAACCCCCCCCCCAAATGTATGGCTTATGTATGTTTTAAAACTCATCAACCGAGCATTGTAAGCCACCTAGAGTGGTCTTAAGTGACTAGATAGGCGGGATATAAATAAAATAAATAAAATAAATAATAAATAATAAATATACACACAACTTCCAAAGTCATGTTCCATTAAGGGCCTCTAGTGTTACATTTCATCTAGTAACTTTGAAGACAAAACCCTACTAGTTGTCACTTTCAGCCTACAACTGAGACCTCTCACACACATCATGAATGATCTCCGACTCATACTTGACAAGAATACTTCACTTTCCCAAGCACTCGGTGGCAGGCCGATATCTGCTTACAGACAACCCCTCTCCCCAATCTCAAGCAGCTACTGACACGCAATGGACTACACAAGACTGATACAGAGATGGGGACTAAACCCTGCTACAAACTCAGATGCCAGCTCTGCCTCCACATTTACACTGGCAACAGAATTACAGGATAACACAGAGAAGAAGGAGCCCTGTGCTGAGGGGGGACAGAGTCGTTCGGAGGCGCACACCTTAGAGGGAACCTTGCCTGTCGGCATTCTGCATAGGACAAAAAGGACAATCTCTATGCAAAAGAATCAGTGGACACAAATCAGATGTCAGGAACAGCAATCACTTCACCTACTGAAAGTCACTTCAATCTACCAGGGCACTCTTTGCAATTTTTGAATGTTGCTATTCTGGAGAAGAAAATTACAGGCAAGAATCCAGAGGAAAACAGCTGAGACAGGATATATATAATTTGCTTAATACCCATCTCAACAGATTAAAGCTAAGGGTTCTCAAGCTGTTACCAAATGTGAAATACTACAATAATTACGTAGTTAACTGCTGTTATTTTCCTTCCCAACTAACCACAGCTACCTTTACAGAATAAGCTTCATGGGTAGCCAGTCATTCTTAACTCCCTACCAACTGTTGTTTCTGCTGTGGGTTCCTTTAGCAACTAATCATTGTTGTTATTTACAGAATAAAGCTTCAAAAGAAAAAAGTGAATACCAAACAAGGAGTCTTAAATCGTTACTAGGTGTGGAATGCAACCAAACATCACTGTTGCTTTATCTTAGAGCCCTGCATGAATATTTTCCCATGTACTCACTGTATTCTCACTCTTGTGTCTGAAAAAGTAGACATGTCCCATGAAAACTTACATTAAAACAGAGCAGTTACAGTGATGCCTCACATTATGACGTTAATTCGTTCCAGCGAAATCGCTGTAGGAAAAAAAACGTCGTAATGTGAAATAAAAAAGGCCATAGAAATGCATTAAAACCCGATTAAACATGTCCCATGAAAACTTACATTAAAACATAGCAGTTATTCTTGAAGGTGCCACCGTGTCTTTGCCCATTCTTTTTCTTTTTGCTCTTCTTTTGCTTTGTGTTTCCTCTTGATATAACGTTATAGCAATGCATATGTCCTATTTTCATTTTCATATTATTGTGATGTTTATGTGCTTATTATTTTATATTAGTTTTAGTACTTTATTTTGTTATAAACTGCCCAGAGTGGGCTTGGCAGCCTGATGGGCAGTATATAAATTAAATATGTAACATGTCTTTCTGATTGAATCCATTAATAGCACATTGGCTGAAACAGCTTTCGAATCATTGTCTTTGAGATCACTGGTTCTTCCTGTCTGCTCTTCTGCAACATGTAGGCTTGACACTCATACATGTGCCAGTGTATTTAAAACATCGTAAAGCGGTCGCTTTTGCAATCTCAAAAAGTTCGTCGTGATGCGATTTCGTCGTTAAATGCTCGTCTTGTGAAGCACCACTGTATTCTTGAAGGTGCCACCATGTCTTTACCCTTTCTTTTTCTTTTTGCTCTTCTTTTGTTTTGTGTTTCCTCTTGATATAATGATATAGCAATGCATATGTCCCATTTTCATTTTCATATTATTGTGATGTTTATGTGCTTATTATTTTATATTAGTTTTAGTACTTTATTTTGTTATAAACTGCCCAGAGTGGGCTTGGCAGCCTGATGGGCAGTATATAAATTAAATATGTAACATGTCTTTCTGATTGAATCCATTAATAGCACATTGGCTGAAACAGCTTTCGAATCATTGTCTTTGAGATCACTGGTTCTTCCTGTCTGCTCTTCTGCAACATGTAGGCTTGACACTCATACATGTGCCAGTGTATTCTGTAAACTGCTATACTGACCCAGAGGAAAATCTCATTCAGCAACACACTGGTTATAACTGCATATAAAGTGGATGGATGTTCTCAGATAATCCGCTAGTTGCAGCAAAGGATAGCCAAGGACTTGATTAAAATTGGCAAGCCAGGAAATTGGCTTTGTTTGTCTCAAAATGGGAGCACACAGTAGGAAGGCACTTAAAGAAGTCTCACACCGGACAACCAGCTTTCTGCAGTCACTCACTCTCACTATTTTTCCTCTGAGTTTTCTGCTTCTGCAATAATTACATGCAAGTAACTTTACACAGTTTTGACTGCAAGTCCCAAAAGAGGGTCTCGATAAGGAAATAAGTACAGTAGTCTCACACAGAAGCACAAGGTATTTGAATAAAGCCAAGGGATCCTGCAAAAGTATCATGAAGTGTTTTGCTAATATGCACGTTGCTTGGATGTACTATTCATCCTGCTCCTGTCTGGACCAGAGGCCTGATCTACCAAGCCTCAGATAAACTGGCCCTCAGCAGGGAGGTCTGGTCTACTCATGACTTGTGTAGATCAATCTTCCATCTGGATACCATTGCTGTCTATATTCGAGAAGGTCCCTACTTGATTAAAATTGGCAAGCCAGGAAATTGGCTTTGTTTGTCTCAAAATGGGAGCACACAGTAGGAAGGCACTTAAAGAAGTCTCACACCGGACAACCAGCTTTCTGCAGTCACTGACTCTCACTATTTTTCCTCTGAGTTTTCTGCTTCTGCAATAATTACATGCAAGTAACTTTACACAGTTTTTACTGCAAGTCCCAAAGGAGGGTCTCGATAAGGAAATACATAGTCTCACACAGAAGCACAAGGTATTTGAATAAAATCAAGGGATTCTGCAAAAGTATCACGAAGTGTTTTGCTAATATACATGTTACTCATCCTGCTCCTGTCTGGACCAGAGGCCTGATCTACCAAGCCTCAGATAAACTGGCCCTCAGCAGGGAGGTCTGGTCTACTCATGACTTGTGTAGATTAATCTTCCATCTGGATACCATTGCTGTCTATATTTGAGAAGGTCCCTGGTCTATGAAGGTCCTCCTACAGAAGAAGATCTGGTCTGCCCATGATCCAGGTTGACTATCTATCATCTGGACACTTGTCTCCATTTGCAACTGAGCCAGAGGCCTGGTGTAGCACCCCTTGGCTAGACCTGCCCTGCCTTAATTATCACCTCTCATTTGTGAACCTGCTGGCTTAGCTGCCCGGAGGCCTGGCCTACCATATCCCTTCCTATGGTGGTATACCAGACCAATTTCTGAAATTTGGGAAGAGGCATACTCTGTAAATGGGATCTCTTGTGGTAAAACCCCAGATACAGCCCTGTCCTTTTTACCCATACAAACAATTTATTCCTGCTAGTCAGCCCAGGTCTATGCTACACAGTGGTTAACTTTGAATCAGATCTCAGTCCTCCAGTCCATATCCAAATACTTACAAAGAAAAGGAGATTGAAGAGGAATAGGAAGTACTTTGTGACTTTCAGGCAGCCAGAACCCATCTTCTTGGTTTACGAAACCTGGATAGAAAAAAAAGACAGTCCCGTGAGTATGTGTCCTTTGCAAAAGCAGTCCTTTCCCAGAGATGTTTTCTCTTTTCCTCACATACAACCCCCTAGAAACCAGAGCATGCAAACAGCTTATTTTTCTCGCAGACAGTCTCCTTAGTGGGGAAGGGGGGGGACAGAGATTTAGTTTGTCTCCTTAGGAAAGGTTTTTACTGTTTTTTATTCCGGCCTTTAGTCTACTTCTCCATACAAGATTCACTTCCAGCTGGCTAACACATCACTCCACCATCAATTCTTCAGGCAGAAATGTCTCATGACCAGGTCAGGCCAACTAAGAAATATTTTATTTTAAAAATAGTTACAGATATAGACCAAAAACTCCACCACCACCAAATGTTGTTCATGCTCACTTCACATTTTTTTAAAACAACTCCTTCCATTTCCCTTTTCTCTGAAGCTGAATGCAATAACTACTTTGTAAACTACTTTTTAAAACAAAATTTCAGTACTACAAGCCATGGTAAAGAGCACATTCTCATCCACTCTACCTTATTTCGCTTCAATATCCACACAGAGCACAAAGCAGCACCAGCATCAGCCAGTATTTTCAACCATAGTATGGTTCTCCTTTTTCCTTCCCTATCATTGTTTTATGATATTGCTTCGTGTAATATACAGTAACAGAACAGAACTAAGATGTTACATCAGCAAAAGAAGTAATATTAACCCGCATTAATTTACAACTATCATGTAATGCAGTTACACCTTTGTAACTGGGGGAGGAAATAGTTATAAATTACTAGTTACCTGTAATAAATTACTAGTTCCCAGCACCTGATACAGGTTATACTGGCACACAGTTCGAGCAGCAGGATTTTGCACAGTATTATAAGCCTTCAAGTGGACCACAAAGATCTTTACGTTACTTGGCCTGTACCTGACCTGAGATTCAACAGCTCTTTTGTATATTAATTATAGTGTCTAATTCAGATGACAGATAACTGATTTTTACCATATTTTATTGCTTTGTATGTGTTGTGGCTATAGATTTTGCATGCTTCCTGCAACAAGCTATCCTAAAGAAATACCCATATATCTTTTTAATAAGAAATCTCTAATGCAAATAGAAAAAAGCAGAAGTTGAGGAGAGTTTGTACATGGCTCATCACCTCATCTACTCTCAGACTTTCACTTTTTTCAATGCATTTTCACTGCTAAGACAGGAAGAAAAACAGCAATTCCTTTTAAGACTCTTGAGTGACTAACATTTGACAACATCCTTAATGGTCTAGTGTGACAATGCAACAGGAAATAAAGTATGACAAAGGGTAAGAGCAGTCAACACTTTAAGCTACAACAGATCTGTTCCAAGCTTCCTTGCACTAGACTGTGCTCAGCAAAGGGCAAAGGAACAAAGCAAGTTATTCCGTTCCAATCTAAAACCTGCTTTTAATCCTATTAGGATATGTAGGTCAGGACTGAGATTAGGATGGAACTGGAGCATCATTCTAATTGGATCTCTCTCTCTCTCTCTCTCTCTCTCTGTCTCTCTCTCTCTCATGTTTTCAAAAATACACCAGCTTTGTTGGGCAGGAGGAAAGGATGGGAGAAAAGAAGGGAAGAGATGCCACCTGAAATGTACCTAAAGAAATTACAAAATTCCTAGTTAATTCTGAAGCTGGGAAAAACTTGTACACTTGGAAACACGTCTCATGAAGAAGCAAGAAAATTCCACAAATCTGCACAGTCACTTTTTACTAAGCACAGTTTTCAGGAAGAGGACACAGAAATTGAATTTATAGGAAGGCAAACTTGCATACCCATCTAACCTAGTCCTTTGCAGGAGTCTCCCACTGATTGTATCTCAGCTACCTGATCCTGTTACCTGATACTTTTAACCTAGAGATGCCAGGGACTGAATCTGGAATCCTTCATACGCAAAGTTGGTGTTTTACCACTGAGGCTATGGTCCTACTCTTCTAAGAGGAGAGTCTCTGTGTAAAGTAGACATCACTGATTACCTGTTTCAAGGTACAGGGGCTGTGATTTGCAACTCCTTGAAATAATTAAGGTCAGTTGCTTGTATCCTTTCTTATAAATGTTCAGGAAGTAACTGTACTGTAGGGCAGGAAGGAGAGACAGGATTTTCAGGTTACTGACTACACGCACAGGCCACACAGCTAATTCCATGGATACCTCAATTGGATCAGTCCACTCTGCTTCATAGAACTGAAAGCACCCGAGAGCTACCCCTTTGGTGAAACATGTTCTGTCCCCAGATTTCATGTATATTCGTATGAATAAGTCTGTCAACCACACATCTGAAAGTGCAACCTGATTATAAGAGCTACAAACAATACAGAATCAGACTGTAGAGAAATGCAGATGTTTAGAAAGCATACTTTGCTTCAGATAAGAAGCCACCAGAATGGGAAAGGCATGAGAGCTGGTCCTGAGTTTAGACCTGGTAAATCCGTAGAAAAAGTTTTACTAAGTAGTATGGTTAAGATTAAGCGTGGTGGCGCTGTGGGTTAAACTCCAGAAGCCTCTGTGCTGCATGGTCAGAAGACCAGCAGTCGTAAGATCGAATCCACGCGACGGAGTGAGCTCCTGTCGCTTGTCCCAGCTCCTGCCAACCTAGCAGTTCGAAAGCATGTAAATGGGAGTAGATAAATAGGTACCACCATGGTGGGAAGGTAACAGTGTTCAGTGTCTAGTTGTGCTGGCCACGTGCCCACGGAAACTGTCTATGGACAAACGCTGGTTCTATGGCTTGGAGACGGAGATGAGCACCGCCCCCTAGAGTCGGACACGACCGGACTAAATGTCAAGGGGAACCTTTACCTATGGTTAAGATAAGATGTTTAGCAAGATTTCAAAAATCAAGATGGGAACACCAGATAACTTACGATGCTTCGAGAATATTAATGCAACCTTCTTGAAATCCCATGATCTTCCTTTTCTAAGAGGAAGCAGTTTTTTCCTACAATTCTCAAATACAAACATTAACAGTATTTAACTGCTTGCTTTCTTGGGGATGGAGGGGATCTAATTAATCTACACAGCTCTAATAAGGAAGGGGAGAAATGATCTGACCAGTTTAAAAAGCAAAATAGTATATATATATTTTCAAAGCTGCCTTCAGTAGGTTTCTAAATTTAAAGAAAACAGGAAGCTATTAAACTTAGAGATGTCCAACAGGCCTTTATAACCATCATTTGCCTGTCTCTTAAGGTTGAATCATAATACTGTAGCATCACCTTCTTTTTCTTGGCTACTATTAGCCAATTGAGGATGATGTAAGATTACCATCTTGAGTTTCTGAAACTCAATTTCTGGAGGTGAAAGTTATTGAAGGAGTAGGTAAAAGACCAATAAGCAAAACTGTTCTTACATGAAAGTATTTTTCCTTTTCTGTTTGCATTACTGGAATATAAAATATTCCCTGTTAAAAGAATCCACAGAGTCTGGTGAAAAGGTAGAATTTAAAACCATACCTATCTTATTTTTTTAATCTCACTCCTGCCTTTATTTCCCTCTGACTCTGACTGGTAGAAGAAATATCAAAGGTGTTGCACCTGGAAAGGCAAAGCACCAGCTATCTTTGGTTACTAACTGGAAGACAAATCCATCCAGAGTGTTTTTCCCCCTTAATCAAACTTGGCACAGGAGGAAGGAGCCATCATGTCTGTGCAGCCTACTTGGCATTCTCATCTCCACCAGTTAAAAACAATGGGAACTTTTTAATCAGTAGATGAAGAAGGCTTTGGGCACAGATTAGTTAATTTTTAAGGCCTAAGAGATGAGATAATTAATATCCAGAAGCCCACATGACTACTATCAACAATTTATTATGTTGGCATTTAAAAAGCAACTGCCACTCTGGGTGGTTCACAACACAAAAATAACACAAACAAAATCATACAATGCCACTCAATTATAAAGTGAAATATAACAATATCAAACAATATAAAATACATTCTAAAACGCCTAAATACGACATTTCCAAGACTTTGCAAGGCTTAGATTTCCACCCACAGGTTTGGTAGTGTGTGCTAACAGGAGAAAAGGCAACATGTCACCTTACCAATTGCAAAAACTATTGTATGCAGTGAACCAAGTCCTTGGACACTCAGGTGCTCAAACAGATTCTATCCCTGCTGTCTTTTCAGAGGACTGGCCTGCTTAGGAAGACACTTAAATAAACCCAGTACACCACATTTCACCACCCAACTTCCCTTCACTTGCTTCCAAATAGACTGGAAGAAAGCTGTAAGAGGACATTATGGTAAAAGGAGAAAGGACAGGTCATTCTCCCTTTTAACTGGGTGGTGGGGGGACCACCATCAAATTATTTCTCAGAAACCTCAGGGAAACCCATTTAACAAAGCCACCATAAACCAACATAAGCATGGTACAGCAGCCTTATTGATGCTATGGCTTTGGTTGAGGAGAGATGCCCAGGTTCTCTCCCACATAGAAAAGAATACAGGAAGAAGGATGCTTCTTCCTTTGGGGCAATTCCTTGCTTATTTACTGATCCTGCAATTGCAATTCTGCTGCTTTCTGAAAGCTCAAACTTTCTACTTGTACCTTTCATCAAAGTATTTAACACAGAGCAATAATCATGGGATGAAAATTGGGGTTTTCTAATCTCACCACCCTCCATTTGGGTGGAACACATCTGATCCTGAAGTGGGTTTCTTGAAGGAAAACTTTGACAAGCACACCTGCACCTCACATAAGACAGATACTAACAACTTGTATTGTGTAAGACCTGTCTAAGAGACAGTTGTTAAGTGGTAACTTGTTCTCTTTTGTGACTGATGATGCTGGCTGGGGATGGTGGAAGTTATGGCCCCCAAAAGTAAGTCTTCCAGGCTGTAGCAGGGGAGAAGGGGAGTTCTGACTGGAATTGATGATGGCCAAATTCTCCAGATTTCCCTAAACCTACGCAAATGTACACAGGACTCCACTGTATACTGGGAGACAGACAATCCTATACCAGGAGC